GATGGGTACCTGAAAGAATAAGCAATGCTCCCTACTCAAAGTAAACATTGTTATGCAAGCAAGATTGAGTTAAAGCTCTCTATATAGCTCAAGCGAAGTCTCACACGGCTCTAAGGAAATGTTAGCGCGTTCACGCAAGTAAAACTCACGGGGTGATCCCCTTTTAAAGGAACTTTCTGAATTGGTGGTGGCTGAATATTTGTATACTCTTTAAACTGAAATCACCCCACAATTATGTTCCAAAGCTCTACACTACTTCGAAAAATATGTAGCCCACCAACCGAGAAAAGCAACTCAAGGAAGGCGTTGTTCGAACTCAGTTCAAACCATCGGCTTTTATCATCAAAGAATGTGTTTTTCATTCGAGCAAAATCTATGGAGCAATCGAGAGTGGGTAATGTGGCATCAGCTCTAAAAAACACGTCTTCCAATCTGCAAAGTGAAAGAGCAATCCTCAAGAGGAAAATCAAGAGTGAAGTCAATAGCAGTATAATACAAGAAATACCTGTGCGCAGCCTGCCTATAGGGAGCAGTCTGCTCCCTGAGAATGAGCAGATGCTTTACCAAGAACAACTCGCCGTCCAACTTCTTCGTATGACCAGTCTGAAAAGAGATCATCGTTTCACCATGGAAACAATTATGCGACTATTAGCATCCCATTACTTCAGTTTAAAGTTCACAAGAAAACTGCTGGACTGTTGCACGGTGACTCATCCAACGAGCTGTTTCCGCAGTTTCCAGCTTCAAGTAAAGGGTAGAGGGAATCCGGAGTACCACCATTCCTCGATGATGGGAGATCAGGGACAGAGCCACATTCGCAAACTTCCAGAAATCTGATGGGACAGACAAGGTCGCTCGAGTCGAGGATGACCTGTGGACTAAAGCCATTATCGATTCCCAGAGGATGTCAACCTGGACGACCAGAAATGCAATAGCCAGTTTCTTCTTACATACTCTGTACGAATGGTGTGATGTTCAACGTGTTCCTTCCACGAGCACAGAGAACCCTTTCGACACGTTGTAGGGACGAACGGAGACGTTGTGATGCCCATCAGAGCAACTCTCAGTAGTACAGGTGATTGAGGAAAGAACTATCAAAAGGTCACCGGTGCTTGGAGCATGCCGTAAAAGAGAATCTGTTACCAACAAAAAACTCCATGTTCACCGACCAGCGATCAGGAGGTTACATCAGTCCCCACAACTTGATTGCAATGAGGACTTTTCGGAGAAAACAAACGAGCGTTAACGAGCATAAATAAGAGGATAAAAGATAAAATCTCCACCGTTGATCAATCCCTTCTTGAGATGCGAAAAGCTTCTACTTCTATTGGAACCGTAGTGGCTTATTGAATGCGATGTGGCCTATACAATGACTTGCGGGAGCCAGCCGATGTACAAGTCGGTGTTCTCATTCCTCCCAGACGAATGCAGCACCAGTTCATAGTCCTGTGGAAAGCTTGGTTGGCTCAGGCGAGAGCTAATCCGGGATCTGACCCACGGACCGCGCGCGTGATACAGCGTGATTCCAGCGAACTGATGGGAGCGATCAGCCACAAAGTATGAATGCACTCTAAGCGTCTGAGCTAAATCTCCACTAGTGACGTGGAGTGTGATACACGGGAGGTCTGATTTGCCGAAAAACACATGAAAGCTGTCCTGTAAAAGAGCCGTCAATGCCGATAGATCTCGGAACTATAGGCCACATAAGGAGTGCGACCTTGACATCACAGTCACCTTCATACGTGCGCAGAAACAAACCGGCGTCCTGATCACAAAACAACGAACCAGGCTCAAAATGCTCACCTTTTTCGATGGTGATGCAGCAATGTGTAGAGCAGCTGCTTCTAGCGACTCAGTGCACATGGACAATAGATCACGAGCAAGCGATTGAAAAACGGCTACCTGAAACGACGCGAGCGTTCCTTTCAGTTCCAGTCATGAAATTAATTTCATTAATACAAATAATTGAAAGGAAATACGAAATTTTGAGTTGTGAAATGAAAGCAAAACATACATCGAGACATCTGTACAATTTTGCAAGGCACATCACGGTTCGCCGTACAGTTGGATACCAAAGGCAGTGAAGATCCACGGCGGATATTGGTGCAGGACTTGGTCGCGCTGATGACGAGTCCTTGCGCACGTTGCCTGAACAATTGTTCATTGAA